GTTTCTGATAGGTTGAAATCTTAATATCTAATTCCTGTTCTTCTATTGTGCGCAGGCCCTAACAATGATAAAGTGATATCTGGGTGGCAGATATGTGGGGTGGCACCCAGTTGGACACGGCTCAATTGGACACGAGCCACTCACAGCGCTTGAGACTACAAAGCTCCTAAGCACCGGTCGGTGTGATTGGTGGTGTCCAATCGAGCCGTGATCAATCGGGATCACCCCGATATGTGATCTTAGTGCTTGCTTGCATTGCAATCACAATTCTCACTATTTTATTTTATAATCGTTTTGCATATAATGCGGGGTCTACAATAGAATTCGTAACAGTCGTAGAGTCTTAAGTCATAGAAAATTGACCAATCATAGTCAATTATTCTTTTAATATTCTACTGTGTTTGGTTAATTTTCTACGACTATAAGACTCTACGACTGCTACGACTTCTATTGTAGACCCCGCTTTAATCTTATCGCTATGGCTATTCTCTCGCATTGTGTTTAAGGCTTAATGGTTGCGTTCAGCGGACTCAACAGTTGAGTGAGCGCTTGCTGTTATTGATGTATTCTTTTAGAGCATCCAATCAGCATTTTAGATCTGGAAGAATACATCAATAGCAGCGAATGCTCACTCGACTGTTGAGTCCACTGAATACAGCCTATGACAAAATAATCGATGCAATTCTGTATAAAAAAATTTTATGAACATCCAATGTTCGCTAATTTTTTTAATTTAATGAAAATATTCGTAACAAAAATAAAATCGAGGGTTATTCGAAAATATATTTTAATACAAAATAATTAAAAAAATATTTGTAACCAATGCCGATAATTAACCGTTTTTAAATGACCTTATCTTTTATCGATATTTTCCTAAATTTATATTAAAAAAAGAAAAAGGATTTATTGACACTTTATAAATACAATTTCTTGTCTTTTTTTGGAAATAGATATTTTTGCTATAAAAGGATATATGGGACACTCGACTGCACTCGACATTTTATAGTGTCCTGTGTCGGTCGAAAATCTAATGTTACATAAGATTTTGCCGTACAGCGCGTGCATCGTGTATTTACAGTCAATGTAAAGCATATTTAGAAAATACTCTGATTATTCTGTATGTCGACGATTGATCCCTGCAAACAAATTGCATGTAAATTGCAAACGTGCTTGAAAGGTTTGTATAATATATCTAATTTAAAGTAGAGGAAAGTAATGTGTTCTTAACCTCTCTTCTTAAAATTTATGCGTTAAGTATATGTTTAAAAATTTTATTAAATGGATAAATTACAAAACTTAAAAAGAAACAGAGACAAAACAGATTCAGATATATGAACGTTGTATTAATATATGGAATAAAATGGAGCTGATATAGGACTTTGATAATTTATACGTGATATTAGTGATAATAACAGAATTATATAATAAATGCTCAAATTTTTATTAGAATAAGTATGAAATAATGCCTTTTTGTTTTTCAGATAATGTTTTTCAGCCTTCCCGTTGTCAGGACGTACTTGAACAAATAAGAAAATGTTGCATGAAATATACTGACTCTACAGTTTGTGATGGTATAAATATCTCGAAACCGTACGAACATAATACTGTAGATTATGTAAGTCTAATACTTGCTTTATTCAAAAATGTAGAATTTAATATTTTATCAGTTGCATAACTATGTATCTCTCAACAGTTATAGATTCTATTATAATTTTTACCTTTTTTTAATATTCTTTCAGCGGAAAGTTATAAGATAAGCAATGCAAAGCGAAGGAAGAAGAAGGCCAACAGTTCCAAAAAGAGGATTTGCACAACGTCATCCACGAAGTGTTATTCTCCTGGGTACAACAATTGCTATGTGTGCACTGTACAGTAAACCTATTTACGATATATTTTTTTATAAACCACCAAAGGACTTTAAACCTGACAAGTCTAAGATCGAATGAATTTATTAGCGCGAAAGAATGGAGGCTGTAAAAAAAGCGAAGGAAAGATTGAAACAGTATCCGATTCTGTTAGTTCGATGTCAGGAATCGGCGTCGAAGTACGCGTCCTGCGTGTTAGCGAAATCCAATTTAGAAAAAAACGCCTGCGCTGCGGAGTTCAACGAATTGAAGAAATGTCTTGTTAAAGCCGCTGCGAGTAATAATACGAGATTATAAACAAGCTTGAAGGTTGATCAGTGGGTTTCTGTGTACTTGATTTTACGCCTTACCTTTAGCTGTACAAAAATGATGACTCCGACACCCGCTAAATTAAACATCTCGTCGTTTATGTCACATTGTTTATTGGCATTTGCTCTACGATTAGTATTGATACTGTACGCCAATTTTCACGACGAGTATCTGGCAGTACCGTACACAGATGTGGACTATAAAGTATTTACTGACGCTGCTAGGCATGTGGTAGAACAGAGATCACCGTTTGATCGTCATACTTACCGCTATTCGCCATTTCTAGCCTGGCTCTTGACCCCAAATATCACACTACATAAGGACTTTGGAAAGATCTTGTTTTCTGTTGTAGATATACTAATTGCGGTCCTAATTAAAAATATTATTGCGCGACAGAGATGTAATGAGATTGTGAAATATTACTGTGCGCTCCTATGGCTTTATAATCCGTTAACATTAGTGATCTCAACAAGAGGTAACGCAGATTCATTGGCAGTTCTTTTAGTCGCACTTACATTGGATTTGTTACAGAGAGACAAAATTGTATTGGCTGGATTATTACATGGGATATCTGTACATTTTAGATTGTATCCATTGATGTTCAGTTTGCCTATGTTTTTATCTTTATGTAAAGGTAATCGTTTCCTGCCGAATGGGGATCAATGGAAACTTGTGCTGAGTTGCGTATTCTCAATCGTTACATTGACAGTCACGGGTTATCGCCTGTATGGCTTTAAATTTTTGTACGAGAGTTTTATATATCATTTAGTACGTAAAGACACACGGCATAATTTTTCCGTGTATTTTTACATGTTCTATTTATCTGCTAATCAACCACAGGATATAATTCAGAAGATCCTTACATTTTTGCCGCAATTATTATTGTTGTTGATGTCGTCATATTATTATTCGGAAAAATCCAAGTTACCATTTGCTATGTTTGTCCAGGCAATGATCGCCGTGATATATAATCCGGTAATAACTTCCCAGTATTTCTTCTGGTTTCTGTCTCTGTTACCTCTGTGTTTACCAAATATCGAAATGAATCTGCGTAGGGGAATATGTTTAGCGTGTTCTTGGATCTTAAGCCAAACTATTTGGCTGCTAACAGCTTATTTACTAGAATTCCAAAGTTTTAATTCATTTTTCTTTCTTTGGATATCTGGTCTTCTATTTTTTGCTGTTAACGTAAAAGTTTTAGTAGATATTATTTATCATTATAAAAGTTAGTTATAATTATGTAACTTTTATCTCAATGAGAATCTGTACATTAAAAATGAATGACTTAAAAAATATAACCAGAGAAATTCATAATATATCTTCTTACATATGAATTATATCTTTAACGAATGTATGGCATAAAATAAATGCACGATTAGTTATAACTTGAAAATGAATTATACAGAATTATATTTTGGTTTTAGAATTATATTTAGTTTTAGTTTAAATGTGAATGTACAGGATGTCAAAATTACAATTCTAAATTTCGTTTATGAATCCTTTGCGCAAATTGATCTTTGTTGAGCCAGATAGATGTCATTTATTTTTGTACTTCTAAAATTTTCTTTAAGTGAACACGATGAGTTTGTCTGAGAAAAGATTATCTATTTATAAAATTTCCTTCTTCGAATTTTTAATGCAACATAAAAATTTTACAGTTGTAATTTTGTGACATCCAGTACTATTAAATTCTTGGAAAATACCTAGGGTAGCAGATAGTGGATTGTTCAAAAAACTTGAATTTATTTAAGTTTTAATAAAAAAGCACATATTATCTACAAGTCTGATTATTTATAAAGTATCACTTTCATTATTCTACGCGGTACTTATATCGGCGTTAAAAATATCAGACGAGTTATAATGATTCTTAATTTTATTCTTTTGCAGGAATACAAAATACTTATTTACAGATAGCTTCGTAAAGTAATAGTGGTAGATTCTGAAAAGGAATGTAGATATATTAGTAATAATACAATAATCGTAAATCTTACTATAGTAATCTAGATTAATTGTGAGCAAGAGCATCTCTTGGATCCGAGAGATTTCTTTATCGATTCGATTGTTCTAAGCTGCTAAATATCATGACAGTAATATTATCGGGTCATTTCTTGTCTTGATTGCACGAGTAATGGTATGCAAATACTTGCATTAAATTTAAATTTTTCTGCCATCGCAGTCTATTCGTGTAATTATCCGTGGAGATATTTGACACGTACACATAAAAAAAAGATGTCTGAGAAGTATATCGAATTACTTTTATCTAAATGTATTTCTGCCGACTTTTAAATAAAGAAGAAGGGAATCGTGTTACATCACTATTTCTGAATATAACTACATTTGATTTACGTAGAGGTGTCGAATCGATTTTCTCAGCTTATTCCACAGAAACGTGCATTTTTCGGCGAATTTTTTTAACGACACGAAATGGCCCAATGGATACGAGTCGAAAGAAAAAGGAAAACTGAAATAGATCTTCTCTTTTATATAACTACGGGTCTTTTTACGGCGGGGATGATGATGAAGTGCAACATATAAAAATAGCATTATTTTCTTTCATTGCTTTCGTTACAGTTTGCTCAACTGTGTGCTATATGAAGTAATCTATTTTATTTGTTCTCTTTCTCTCTTTCTTGAAACGGATACACACGACTGATCTTCGTCAAACGCCTGCGCGGAACGTTTGCACGGAGATCAGTCCGGATAACATCAGGGGTAAGGGGGTGAAGTTCCGGGTCACGCAGAGAATGAAAGTACAGGCCACCGCGATCGAAGCGATAAAAATTATAAATAATCTCCATCTTGGCCGCGCGGCCCGGAAGTTACCCCCCGGAGAAAATGTTTTACATTATTCACAAACCGATCCACCGTCTCGTTAAGCCTTCCCTGAAAAAAAAAAATCATTGATAGAAAGGAATCGTACGCGATTATGTAAGATATAGAAGACTATACTTGGGCGAATATGGCAACGAAAGTCTTGCTTTCCGAGGCACATACATGGAAAGTGTAAATTCGTCTTTCGCACAAAGCCAAACACTTTAGAAAAAGAACAAAAAAAAACACTTTGGAGCGTGCCAAGAATAAAGCGATTGGCATAGCACATTTTTTTGTTTTTTTATAGCATATTAATTTCAATCAATTCAAACGAAAGTTTCGTGGATGCGAAACATTTCGTAATTTTTTTTTTTTTTTTTTTCCAATACCCTTCTATGAGGAATTTTGGACCGGGTAGGATAATTGTGGCACTAAGTTAATATCGCAACAATTTCCGAGAATAGAGAGACAAATGATAAATCGTCGCTTTTTAAAGAATTTTCTGACACCTAAACGAAGCATCGTCGTTATTCTCAGTGACTTTATGATTATTATTGCTCTTATTGTTGCTACGTCATTATTATCCTAGTGTCACAATTACTCCGCTTGACCCTACACGCCGATACTAAATAGAATGGGTGCACCGATGCATACGTTAATGTGCTCTTTTAAGAAAGACGGCTGGCTCGGGGTTGCTCCTAGCATTTTCTTTGCAACGATGCAACGTTGGTCGCACAAAGATTACCTTGTTTCATCTCGGCCTTGCACAAAATGAGAAACATATACAACGTTACGCGGAAGCGAGATACGATGTAATTTCCAATATATCGACGCATCGATAATTGCGCACTGAATAAGGGAGCATAAAAAAAAAATAGCGTGCTGCAATATCCGAGGTATGAGTCAAGAAAAAATATGATACGAGAACGAAGGGAAACGTCAGACTAACGGGGGACTGTGTTATGGCAAATATTTAATAAAATATAATAACATCGGTGATATATAGGTATATATACACACATTACAGTCTACGGAAAAACATAAGATAAACGACACTACATTCGCTTAACGATAAGTACGTAAATGGATTACAAATAACAAAATAATAATAATAATAATAATAATAATTACTATATAATTATCTTGCACGAAAAATGCGATCACCAATAAGAGATAAAATGTACATCATGATAAAATAGATTGTATATATATATATATATATAT